TGACATCCGCCACAACCCTCCTCCTCCCACCCGTGACATCCGCCACAACCCTCCTCCCACCCGTGACATCCGGCACAAGCCTCCTCCCACCCGTGACATCCGCCACAACCCTCCCCCACCCGTGACATCCGCCACAACCCTCCTCCTCCCACCCGTGACATCCGCCACAACCCTCCCCCACCCGTGACATCCGCTACAACCCTCCTCCTCCCACCCGTGACATCCGCCACAAACCAATAAAAGCAGTGATTGCTCTTCAACATTCGAGATGCGCAGTCAGCTAATTTTCCTTGGCTTACCATGCACCTTTATTCTCCTCTTCCTTCCCTCTTCCTTGCCTCTCCCTCTTCCTCTCCCTTGCCTGTGCCGCCCCCTTCAATATCTCTACCATTCCATTTCATGGTCTGAATATACAGCAGTAATGCTAGGAGACGAGGATGGCTGGTGAGGGGACGAGGGCGGCTGGTGAAGTGGGGGAGGAGGGGGTTGGTGAAGGGGGGGTTGGAGGGGCTGGTGAGGGATGGGGATTGGGGAGGGGGGTCTGGTAAAGGAGGGACGAGGATGGAGGGGGCTGCGGTAGGAGTGGGGGGGGGGAGGAGGTTGGAGGATGAGATTGGGGGTTTGCGGGGGGGGGGGGGGGGGGCAAGATGAGCGGCCCTTCGAAGTTTCTTTTATGTTGGTGGCTTTTGTTAAGCTTGCCTGTGTGCTCACCTACACGTGCTTCTAGGGATAAACCTCAACTCCTAAGCCCTGCCTCTCCCTCTACAACCTGTCCTCGACTCAAGTCTATTCCATCCAGCTGTCGACCCCACAGACGCATTCATAAATGTTTACATGCTGTTCATTCAAAACGGGAATTTTCTCAAATATAAATTAATATTATAATATATTAGCGTATTGTGCATATATAGGTTAGGTTAGGTGTTTAGGTTCTGTTGGCGATTATTTGTATTTGTAGTACGTGGGTGAAGCATTTATAGCGTTGTGGTTCGAACAAAATTGGTCAGTGAAGCACTTGTTCCGGAAGTGTTCGGACGTCATCAGCTGTGAGTCGTGTGTAAACCGTTTTTCGTTCATAAACAGCTGGGGATTGGCGGGTGGATGGAATGTATTTTTGGGTCTTTGTTTGAAGGACGGGCTGCCATCTCCTGGTCAACTGATACATTGACTCGAGTCTCATGTTTATCGTCGTGTTTCCTTTTGAAGCTCCTTAACGAATTCGCCTTTGGAATCCCTACTGGTATCAAATTCCATTTGTTGGCAACGCTTCTGCTAGAAATATTCGTTTTGGTACCACTGGGCCTCTACCTGGGTCTCTATATACCTGGGTCTCTATACACCTGGGTCTCTACCTGGGTCTCTATACACCTGGGTCTCTACCTGGGTCTCTATATACCTGGGTCTCTATACACCTGGGTCTCTATCTGGGTCTCTATATACCTGGGTCTCTACCTGGGTCTCTATACACCTGGGTCTCTACCTGGGTCTCTATATACCTGGGTCTCTATACACCTGGGTCTCTATACACCTGGGTCTCTATATACCTGGGTCTCTATATACCTGGGTCTCTATATACCTGGGTCTCTATATACCTGGGTCTCTATACACCTGGGTCTCTATATACCTGGGTCTCTATACACCTGGGCCTCTACCTGGGTCTCTATATACCTGGGTCTCTATATACCTGGGTCTTTATTTACCTGGGTCTTTATTTACCTGGGTCTCTATCTGGGTCTCTATATACCTGGGTCTCTATATACCTGGGTCTCTATATACCTGGGTCTCTACCTGGGTCTTTATTTACCTGGGTCTCTACCTGGGTCTTTATTTACCTGGGTCTCTACCTGGGTCTTTATTTACCTGGGTCTCTACCTGGGTCTTTATTTACCTGGGTCTCTACCTTCCACGAGAGAACTTTAGTCCTAACATCAAGCACTTTCAATATAGCCTGGAGTCAGGTCACTAATTTCATGGAGACCAATATCCTCCACAACCCAGGCCAACATGGAGACCAATGACCTCCACAACCCAGGCCAACATGGAGACCAATACCCTCCACAACCCAGGCCAACATGGAGACCAATGACCTCCACAACCCAGGCCAACATGGAGACCAATGACCTCCACAACCCAGGCCAACATGGAGACCAATACCCTCCACAACCCAGGCCAACATGGAGACCAATACCCTCCACAACCCAGGCCAACATGGAGACCAATGACCTCCACAACCCAGGCCAACATGGAGACCAATGACCTCCACAACCCAGGCCAACATGGAGACCAATGACCTCCACAACCCAGGCCAACATGGGTTTAGAGCGGGAACATCGTGCCTCTCACAGCTACTTGACCACTACGACAAAGTCACTGAGGCATTAGAAGAATAACAGAATGCTGATGTGCAACCCATCCTCCGAGTTGACAGTACGTTTTAATACTAAGTGTAATAAGTACATTTCCTGACTGTCATACATAGTACATAATTGCACTTATGGAGCTGTTACATTTACCTCCCCATTTTATTCTCCTCGTTTTCTGTTAAGACACTCAAAATTTTAGGATGAAGTTTAAAAGCTCAATTTACTTTACACAAGTTTTAAATATCAGAAATTTCTTTCTCAATTTTAATAAACAACAGAGATTTAATACAAAAATTTGGAAAAATCCTGAGTTACTTTACAATTTATTGAAATGTTTTACTTCTGTTCTATTTGTTTTATAAAAATATAATATCAATATAGCTACAAGTTTAGTAGTAATTGTAATTAAGCAGCAATAAAATGCTTACCTTCAAAAGCTAAGACGGTTAGGTTAGATAGTGGTTTTCTATTCAGCTTTTCAGGTAAATTCAAATATTCACAATATATTTGACAGTACGTTTTATTACTAAGTGTAAATAAGTACAATTCCTGACTGTCATACTTAGTACATAATTGCACTTATGGGGCTGTTACATTTACCTTCCAATTTTTGGAGGACTGGCTGGGTATACACGGACTTCGCAAAGGCATTCGATAAATGCCAGCGCACAAAAAGAGGTCAATATGAATAACTGATAAAGTAGGACGCTGAATACTCAGTTTTCTGTCGAACAGAACACAAAGAGTAACAGTCAACCATGTAATATCGAGTCAAAGCGCAGTTGAAAGCTCTGAACATTAAGGTACAGTCCTTGCACCACTGATTTTCCTTATTCAGATATACACTCAAATACAAGGCACAGCTTCATATCACGACCTAACTTTTAGGGAGCATAACCAAGCAAATATTGCGAAAGCCAAAAAATGATAGGATGGATTACGAGAACTTTCAAATCCAGGGATCCCATCACAATGGTTGTACTCTTCATGTCACTTGTGTTGTCCCGATTTGAATACTGCTCAGTACTCACTTCCCCCCTTCAGAGCAGGAGAGATTGCTGAAATAGAGGGAATACAGAGAACATATACGGCATACATAGACGCGATAAAGCACCTAAATTATTGGGATCGTCTCAAAGCATTCCAAATGTACTCATTAGAAAGAAGACGAGAGAGATACCAAATAATATACACGTGGAAAATACTGGAGGGCCAGGTCCCAAATCTACACAGTAAAACAACAACGTACTGGAGTGAACGATATGGAAGAAAATGCAGAATAGAACCAGTGAAGAACAGGGGTGCCATAGACACAATCAGAGAACAAACACTGTATAAATATCAGAGGTCCACGGTTGTTCAATATCCTCCCAACGAGCGTAAGAAATATTGCCGGAAAAACCGTGGACATCTTCAAAAGAAAACTAGACAGTTTTCTTCAAGGAGTGCAAGTGGACCAAACTCTCACAAGTCAAGCCTGGCCTCGGGCCGGGCTTGGGGAGTAGAACAACTCCCAGAACCCCATCAAGCAGGTATGGCCTCTTTGTTCTTTATCTCAAATAGCTTTAATATTTTTCCTGTTATATCACCCCTTGCCTTCAATCTTCCAGCTTGGCAAGGTTATTGCAGTCGAGTCCCTCGGCTCCGGTACGAGTCCTGATGCATGACTCTTGACTTCAAAGTTTCCTTTCGACGTTCTTAAAATGAGAATTGTTGGCTGAAGCTGCATACTGGAGGGTGTGTTTTGTGTAGGTTGTATGTCGTGCCGTGATGACCTGCTCCTCTTGCCTCCTACAGCCTGCCTAAACATTTGCCAGTCTTCTTGCGTACTCACCTAGTTGTGCTTGCGAGGGTTGAGTTTTGGCTCTTTGGTCACTCGTGTTGTGTTTGGGGATATATATATATACCCAAACATCCACCACCTAGGATGGTGGATGTTTCCATTTCCACCTGATGGAATACAGCCCACAGCTCCTGCGACGGCGCTGGAACCAATCGTATTGGCGTTTGCCTTTCCATTGGAGACTTTCAACGCCGTGGAGATGGGGGGGGGGGAGAGGTGGACTTGCTGCCTGGGTAACAGCTTCTCCCCCGAATCAACCCACCCTGGCTTTGCGCCCTGGTGAGGCCACTCCAGACCGACCACCAGAACGCAACTCCATAGTCTCCTGAGACTGATGGAGGCCTACTACTATACTATATACTTGTCTGTCACAGATTCCAGAAGCATTCTCCACTTTTAAAATATATGTTCCTGGGAGTCTTCTTTCTTCTGTTTTTATTCTCATTACTTTGAATTTGTCAATGTTTAAGTAAAGCAACAATCATTTTGTGGTCATTTATGTGGTGTGTTAAGGTGATGGAGCAGCCAGTTCTCCCAACGTCAAGAACCTGTCGTACTAAAATGCCCTATAACCTAACCAACCAGAGGACCCACGAGCAGAAAACGGGACATTATGCTAACTTCGTGAACAGTCTGCCATTTTCTGGAAAATCAGTTTTTGGCCTTTGGTAAAGTATACGTCAAAAATGCGGCGTGCTATACCGTGAACGGGTTTTGTAGAGGGAAAGTTAGCAAGTTGACTAGTCACCAGAAAGATGTTAAACTATGAACCTTAACACCCAATATATCTCCAGCACCACAGGTTATAGTGCCAGGATCACCACAGGTTATAGTGCCAGGACCACCACAGGTTATAGTGCCAGGACCACCACAGGTTATAGTGCCAGGATCACCACAGGTTATAGTGCCAGGATCACCACAGGTTATAGTGCCAGGACCACCACAGGTTATAGTGCCAGGACCACCACAGGTTATAGTGCCAGGATCACCACAGGTTATAGTGCCAGGATCACCACAGGTTATAGTGCCAGGATCACCACAGGTTATAGTGCCAGGATCACCACAGGTTATACTGCCAGGATCACCACAGGTTATAGTGCCAGGATCACCACAGGTTATAGTGTCGGGATCACCACAGGTTATAGTGCCGGGACCACCACAGGATATAGTGCCAGGATCACCACAGGTTATAGTGCCAGGATCACCACAGGTTATAGTGCCAGGATCACCACAGGTTATACTGCCAGGATCACCACAGGATATAGTGCCAGGATCACCACAGGTTATAGTGCCAGGATCACCACAGGATATAGTGCCAGGATCACCACAGGATATAGTGCCAGGATCACCACAGGTTATAGTGCCAGGATCACCACAGGTTATAGTGCCAGGATCACCACAGGATATAGTGCCAGGATCACCACAGGTTATAGTGCCAGGATCACCACAGGATATAGTGCCAGGATCACCACAGGTTATAGTGCCAGGGTCACCACAGGTTATAGTGCCAGGATCACCACAGGTTATAGTGCCAGGGTCACCACAGGTTATAGTGCCAGGATCACCACAGGTTATAGTGCCAGGATCACCACATGTTATAGTGCCAGTATCACCACAGGATATAGTGCCAGGATCACCACAGGATATAGTGCCAGGATCACCACAGGTTATAGTGCCAGGATCACCACAGGATATAGTGCCAGGATCACCACAGGATATAGTGCCAGGATCACCACAGGTTATAGTGCCAGGATCACCACAGGTTATAGTGCCAGGATCACCACAGGATATAGTGCCAGGATCACCACAGGTTATAGTGCCAGGATCACCACAGGATATAGTGCCAGGATCACCACAGGATATAGTGCCAGGATCACCACAGGTTATAGTGCCAGAATCACTACAGGTTATAGTGCCAGGATCACCACAGGATATAGTGCCAGGATCACAGCTCACGGGACGTGATGATGAACGTGACACCCAGTCTGACTAATCACTCACAGGATAGTGAATCACTCGAGGCGATTCAAAATTGTTACAAGACGATTTAATAGGACAGAAAATGTGCAGATACAGTTTAATGGCCAACATTGTATGGATCCACACATAGGTAATGATAACAGAGCTGCCAGATAGCAGCTGATAGCAGCTGGAGGGTGTTGACATTACGAAGTTTTAATGTGAGCAACATTACGAGTATCTCAATGTGAAGAAGAATGTAACCAGGAAATTGGGATTTATTCCTTGAAGGGTAACAAGATATCCAGCATTATTCTTGGGCATTACCTTGCTCTTGTTAGGCCCTCTCTAGATGATACAAACAAGCTGTACTATAGAATGAGTACACGTTCACTTGAACGTGTACAGAGCGTGGTGAAGTTAATCCTTGGAACCTTAATTTGAATTATCCTGAAAGTCGAAGGGTGATGTGGTTGATGTATAATAGGCGTTATTAATAAAGGGAGATGGTGTGGGGGAGATGGTAGATTTTGTGGGGGAGATGGTGTGGGGGGAGATGGTGTGGGGGAGATGGTAGATGGTGTGGGGGAGATGGTAGATGGTGTGGGGGAGATGGTAGATGGTATGGGGGAGATGGTGTGGGGGGGAGATGGTGTGGGGGAGATGGTAGATGGTGTGGGGGGGAGATGGTAGGGGAGAGACTGAGTGAGGGAGAGATTGAGTGGGGGAGAAGAAAAATGCAATTACGGATCAGAAGCGGAAAATGGAGGGAAAAAATGTGAAGTCTGGAATGTGAAGTTAGATATATCAAAGTCAGGTCAGGTTAGGCTGTTAGATAACTACACTTTCATCTTAACATCTATCTAAATTCTGGGTACAAGGATTACAGACTCATGTTAACACATCATGTCAAACCCAAACCATGGGGGGAGGTCCTGAGGCCCAACATGACACACGGCTTGACCCTAGAGGATATACCATTCTTAGTCTAGCTCATATCCTTCAGCTGGGAGGTATAACGAGCCGCAGTAGCGTGCAACGGTGGGAGAAAACAGTTGAGACAGAGTATGGCAATGGTAAAGTGGAGATGGTTGAGGAGTGTGTGAGGTGAGGCATGTGTGAGGTGAGGCATGTGTGAGGTGAGGCATGTGTGAGGTGAGGCATGTGTGAGGTGAGGCATGTGTGAGGTGAGGCATGTGTGAGGTGAGGAATGTGTGAGGTGAGGCATGTGTGAGGTGAGGCATGTGTGAGGTGAGGCATGTGTGAGGTGAGGCATGTGTGAGGCGAGGCATGTGTGAGGTGAGGCATGTGTGAGGCGAGGCATGTGTGAGGCGAGGCATGTGTGAGGTGAGGAATGTGTGAGGTGAGGAATGTGTGAGGTGAGGCATGTGTGAGGTGAGGCATGTGTGAGGTGAGGCATGTGTGAGGTGAGGCATGTGTGAGGTGAGGCATGTGTGAGGTGAGGCATGTGTGAGGTGAGGCATGTGTGAGGTGAGGAATGTGTGAGGTGAGGAATGTGTGAGGTGAGGCATGTGTGAGGTGAGGCATGTGTGAGGTGAGGCATGTGTGAGGTGAGGCATGTGTGAGGTGAGGAATGTGTGAGGTGAGGAATGTGTGAGGTGAGGCATGTGTATGGTGAGGCATGTGTATGGTGAGGCATGTGTATGGTGAGGCATGTGTGAGGTGAGGCATGTGTGAGGTGAGGCATGTGTGAGGTGAGGCATGTGTGAGGTGAGGCATGTGTGAGGTGAGCAATCAGAGGGTGAGGAATGAGGGGCACGGGAATGAGGGAGTTACGTAGATACCCGCCCCCCACAACACCCCGTCACCTACAACACCCCGCCCCCCACAACACCCGCCCCCCACAACACCCCGCCCCACACAACACCCCGTCACCTACAACACCCCGCCCCCCACAACACCCCGCCACCTACAACACTCCGCCACCCACAACACCCCGCCCCCCACAATACCCCGCCCCCCACAACACCCCGCCCCCCCCCACAACACCCCGCCACCCACAACACTCCGCCCCCCACAATACCCCGCCCCACACAACGCCCCGCCCCCCACAACACCCCGCCACCCACAACACCGCCACCCACAACACCCCGCCACCCACAACACTCCGCCACCCACAACACCCCGCCCCCCCCCCACAACACCCCGCCACCCACAACACTCCGCCCCCCCACAACACCCCGCCACCCACAACACTCCGCCACCCACAACACCCCGCCCACCCCCCACAACACCCCGCCACCCACAATACCCCGCCCCCCCCACAACACCCCGCCCCCCCCCACAACACCCCGCCACCCACAACACCCCGCCCCCCACAACACCCCGCCCCCCCCCACAACACCCCGCCACCTACAACACTCCGCCACCCACAACACCCCGCCCCCCCCCCCACAACACCCCGCCCCCCACAACGCCCCGCCCCCCACAACACCCCGCCACCCACAACACCGCCACCCACAACACCCCGCCACCCACAACACCCCGCCACCCACAACACCCCGTCACCTACAACACCCCGCCACCTACAACACCCCGCCACCAACAACACTCCACCACCTACAACACCCCGCCACCAACAACACTCCGCCACCTACAACACCCCGCCACCAACAACACTCCACCACCTACAACACCCCGCCACCTACAACACGCCACCACCTACAACACCCCGCCACCCACAACACCCCGTCACCTACAACACCCCGTCACCTACAACACCCCGCCCCCCACAACACCCCGCCCCCCACAACACCCCGCCACCCACAACACTCCGCCACCCACAACACCCCGTCACCTACAACACCCCGCCCCCCACAACACCCCGCCACCTACAACACTCCGCCACCCACAACACCCCGCCCCCCACAACACCCCGCCACCCACAACACCCCGCCACCCACAACACTCCGCCACCTACAACACCCCGTCACCTACAACACCCCGTCACCTACAACACCCCGCCCCCCACAACACCCCACCACCCACAACACTCCGCCACCCACAACACCCCGTCACCTACAACACCCCGTCACCTACAACACCCCACCCCACACAACACCCCGCCACCCACAACACCCCGCCACCCACAACACCCCGCCCCACACAACACCCCGCCCCACACAACACCCCGCCACCCACAACACCCCGCCCCACACAACACCCCGCCACCCACAACACCCCGCCCCACACAACACCCCGCCCCACACAACACCCCGCCCCACACAACACCCCGCCACACACAACACCCCGCCCCCCACAACACCCCGCCCCCCACAACACCCCGCCCCCCACAACACCGCCACCCACAACACCCCGCCACCCACAACACCGCCACCCACAACACCCCGCCCCACACAACACCCCGCCCCCCACAACACCCCGCCACCCACAACACCCCGCCCCCCACAACACCCCGCCACCCACAACACCCCGCCCCCCACAACACTCCGCCACCCACAACACCCCGCCCCACACAACACCCCGCCCCACACAACACCCCGCCACCCACAACACCCCGCCACCCACAACACCCCGCCCCACACAACACCCCGCCCCCCACAACACCCCGCCCCCCACAACACCTCGCCAGTGAGGGTGGGAAAAGAGTGTTAAGATATCCGGCCGCCGGCTCCAGCCACCCCGTAAAGAATTCCTCTAAGAGCATCTCCAAGTCTTCCTATTAAACACAGATGAAATATATATAGAAATAACATTAAAATAAAATATATCTATAAATACATGTTTTAATTCTCTGTTATAGGAAAGCCTCGAGTGTTCAACCTGTTCTGTTATTATAGGTCATGGGGGGGGGGAGGGAGGGGAAAGCGCCAGGCCATTACGACTATATAGCACTGGGAAGGGGTCAGTATAAGGATATGGGATGGGACGGAGGGAAGGAATGGCTCTTGGAATATTCCCACTATATAGAGTTTTGAAATGGTGTAATATCCTCTCCGAAAATTTCTGACTAAAAAATGAGGTCAAACATGGTGGTGTTTATAGTACTTTATTTGTTGCTTTCTTGATCTGGTTTTGAGAACAGTACCGATTATAGCAGATGCTCAAGCAACACTAAGTTTAATATTTTTTTTTTTTTGCTGCTAATCTATTTCTTTTAATTTAACACTAACTTAAGTTGATATGGCAGAACTGAAGTTATGTCGAGGAATACAGCCTCGTGGTTTATCGTGTGCCTGTGTGTTGTAGTGGAGTCCTCACTGTCCTCATAATTCCCTCACTGGACTCTTTTTATCCAGATCTTAACTAAAGTTACTGGGCCACATTATATGCTCAAGAGCCTACTTATAAATTATTGTGATGTTATCAGTGACCTGAAAGTCAGAACAATGTCAGTAAACGTGTGCATGTTCATCGTCATTCATGGTCCAAAGTAGAATTAGTTAAGTCATTATCTCAGCGTGTACGGCTATAAACGATGGGGGATTACGATATGCTGACCTTGATAAGCTTAATAGTAAACAGAGGACATGTTGTAAACATATCTTGGGTGTAATCTCCTGCCTGGCCTCATGTCCACACACTAACTTGATGAAATCATTTACAAACGAATGATGCCCTTGTGTATGAAGGGATACACCCATCCAGCAAACACAGTCATCTTACACACACACACACACACTTAATTACGTTAATTAATTAGTAATTAATTAACCGAATTAACTAACCTAAATAATTAACCTTTGGCCTAATTAATTAATTAGGCCAAAGCTAGAATATGCAGCGGTTGTGTGGTGCTCATATCTTAAGAAGCACATCAACAAACTGGAAAAGGTGCAAAGACATGCTACTAAGTGGCTCCCAGAACTGAAGGGCAAGAGCTACGAGGAGAGGTTAGAGGCATTAAATACGCAAAACTAGAAGACAAGAAAAAGAGGTGATATGATCACTACGTACAAAATAGTAACATAAATTGATAAAATCGATAGCGAAGATTTCCTGAGACCTGGAACTTCAAGAACAAGAGGTCATAGATTTAAACTAACTAAACAC